ATCTTGGATCTAAGGTAGCTCATATCTATACTTGAGTTAGAATTTGCCAGCATGATTTAGTTTCCAATTCTCTTTTATTGAATGTTTGAATGTAGGGTAGAAGGTGGTCCATAGATTTTAGCTTAATGAAGATTGGAGTATGATCTAAGATGCTAGGTTAGATTGGTCATATACCATTTATGCCTCCAAGATCTTGTAAATTGGTTCAAATATAGAATCTATTCATTTGGATTAGTATAGTTCTAAGTATTGGTTGGCGGTTGACTCAAAGTAAAGAATTTGTTATTTATCTTGTAGAATTTGCCCATGTAGAAGACGTCTTAGACTTGTAGTTTGATGAAAAAATTATTCTAAGAGTTGATTTTCTTATTGCCACAGCCTAATTGTTCACTCCTTCCTTCTTTGTTATCTAGAGATTTGACAAAATTGAAGTTGCCACTTATGAGCCACAACACTTTTGATAAGGGATATTTTGCAATTTGTTGCCATAGTCTTACTCAAAGACTTGTATGGTGGTATCTATAAATGTTGACTATTCAAATTTGGATTATAGATGTTGGTTCTAAAATAAGAAATTAGGTGCAATCTCTAGCAATAATAGCATGAGCTTTGATGCAATCCACTATTTTGGACAATGTTAGGATGGTTATGCCACTTGCCAAGTTGTCCACCATAGTGTAGCAAAGTACATTGCGACATTCCAAGGGATTGGTCCTTTGAATAATTCTAATTATGTTGTTCTTTCTATGCAATCTCTTTGTATGAGAAGATGTTCTTATAAGAAGATGATGTCTAGTTTTGGGAAGGTGTTTTGTATGAATTCTTGTAATTCTCAGTGTTTTTGTATGCCAGCCAGGCCCTTTCCAAGGCACTAGACGTTGTATGAGGCTACAATGAGGTCGTCACTCATAAGTGGCTAAATTAGTTTCTTCTTCCAGTTTCTTCTCGAAGTGGGCTAGTGGAGGAGGGAAGGAGAGTGTGTCGGAGTCCTCTAGGATTGTAGCTTTGATTGTTTGCCTCCAAATAACGTAGGGTATTGATTGCTTACGGCTGAGTAGTGGGACTAGTTGGTATGCTGTATAGGTTATGGATGTCCATTGCATCACATGCTGTTGTTGTATGGTGGTTTGATGTTTGTCAAGAAATATGAAAACAATCCATTTGCAGAGTATCTGGTCCTCCTGGATGTTCCACTTTGTTGCCCATATTGCATCGTTCCAGCATCGTAGGAAATTATGTCCATTGTTGTTGATTATCTTTATGCATAAACGTTGCATTGTGATGTTTACCATGTGGTTCCATGCCGAATCTTGGGTCCAGTTTGCCTCATCTGTTGCATGGGTTAATTGCAAGGTGCATATCGGGATATTGGTGCTCTTGTATATTAATGCTTTGATTGAGAAGTTAGGACTGGTGCGGACAAACACTGGTGTAATTTGGCTTTGTGTGGCTCCATCACCTAGGGAGGTGATCTCCAAAGCTTTCCAAAAATTGGGGTGAACAGATGGAGAGTCATACGTTGTTACACACTGCCAGAACGTGGTTAGCGATCAATGGAGGGGGTTTGTGGAGTTTCTTTTCTGCCAAGATAAAATTGGATTTTAGGGTAGTTATATTGAGGCACTTGTGGAAGCACGTGGTGTTGGTCTTCAAGTCCCCATCATCATCACTCCCCTGATTTATGGAGTTGCTTAATATTGAGGTGTCTGGGGTTGTTTGTTTGGTGGGAGCTCGCTTGAGATCTTCGCGTCTCTTCTGCGGATATTGTTTGGTATGATGTGTGGTATTTCTCTAGCGATTGGACTGTGAAGGCAAGCCACAATATTCTATCTTATATGCTTTTTCTCCTCCTGTGAAGTTAGGCAGGACCATAAATTGGGGTAATTTGGTGATATCCTTAACTAGGAGTCGAGCTCGGGGGTTGGATACTTTACTAAGGTATGAATTGGCTATATCAATAGCGAGGACTTCTCCAATGGTGGCGAATGCTTCAGTGAGGAATTCGGTTATACAAAATATTCTTCAGATACCCTTGATTTAGACCAGATTGGGAAGGTGGGAAGGTGTGTGGGGCTGTTGGAGCATCTTCAGGGTTGAAGTCCGCTCACCAAGGGGTGAAGAGAATGTCTTGATTACCGAATTTGAACTGTTTGATGAGCGTGTTCATTTTGCCTTGTTCGCTGGAGAAGTACACTTCGAAGTATCCTCCGCCGAGCATTGAGATCGAGGAGACTGTAGTGTGTAGAAATCATGTGGCCCAGTCATGTAGAAATCGTGGCCCAGGATGTTTCCACATGTATCCTATTTGAGTGTGACCTGCACTTGTTGCAATGTGTGGGGGCTCAGGTTGATAGTGATCCTGTCTTGCGTGGATTCGGTTTGCTCGACAACTGGAGCAGGTGAAGTGGGTGCTCGGGTGACTCCTATTGATGCAGTATCGAATCCAAAAGTGCGTAAAATCTGTTGTGCATCCGGTTGTAATTGGGTTGCGATTCTCATCAACTCCTCTTCTACCGAGTATTGGTGTGCCAATCCTTGGTGTGGATTGGATTGAATAAAGTCTTCTGCTGTGTCCCATTGTGTCTAGACAAATGATCTAAGGGTTGTCATAGTATGTTGCGCGAGTTCCTTATGCATCCTGGATTCGGGGCTGATGTTTCGATTGTCAGGATGTGTTGCTTCTAGGGACTATGTGAGCTCTATTTCCTCCATCCTTTCTGAGGGTGCTAGGGTTTGGATTCCTGGAGTCACTATGTTCGTATTTCCTGTTGGCCCTGTAGGTTGGAGGTCTCTTGCGAGTGGTTTCTGAGGGATATTGACATCCTTTGAAAATTGCAATGGTGTCGGTCTATGCTCGCCCTCGGGTGGGAAGTATAAGGGTTCAACGTCGAAGCTTCCCTTCGATTGTTTCTCCTCAGTGTTGGGGCTCTCAAAGCTTGCCAGGCTTTCTTCTGTACCTGTGTCTGAGTGGAGAGTTGGGGGACTTACTTGGGGGTTGATGTGATGTGTTGTTCTTGTTGCTGACTCTGGTCCGAAGGGCGCTCCACGTCCTACCGCCAGTGTCCCCAAGGACTGAGTTTTGCTCCGGAGTGCATATGTTGTTTCTTTCGGGGCGCTACTTGGTCCCGCCTTTCGACGCCCACTCTCTATCTTCCTATCCATTGTTCCTACCAGCTCAACTTTTGCTACGTTGGGTTCTGCTGAAGTTGGAATCCAGATTCCAATAGCGCTCTAACCTTGCCGGTTGTGTAAATCGCTAGAGTGTTTGGGTCGCCGTAATATTCGGATCTATCCCTCGCCTGTCCAAAACTGACTGCAATTTGTTGCTTTGCAAGCTCCTAGAGCAATGCAATGTCTCACCGACTGTTGCAAAAGTAAATGCTGCCACTATCTTTCAAAAAGCTCACATTCCGGAAAAAGTGGATCTAGGTTGGTTCCGCGGCTCCGGTTTTCACGGAGCCTCGCTCTGCACTTTCGCTCTACCACTGAGCTATAAAGGCCCGACTTGCACATGTGCTTTCAATAAGTAATCACGAATTCTTAGACTCCCAATTTTCATCGATTTACTACTTCCCGACGTCCGATGCAGTGACACACAGCGTCTGATTTGATTGTCGAAGAACTACATGGTTTCGTACTCAAATTTCGGAATAGCTTTGCAACTAACATACCATAATATATATATATAAATATATATATATCCTAACAACTGTGATTTTGTTTCGTGTACCGCCCAGTTTTCTGGATCTCAGGTCTTTGAATGCCATGTACTTACGTCTTCAATCAATGTATTGGGTATTCCTCAGATGTGTCATTTTTATTTATTTATTTATTTCCTTTCGGGATTTCCATTTCGATATCTACACGAATCCGACACGCATGAAAGGCTAGAACCTTGGTACGCACAAAAGTGGCCGGAGAGTATTTTACCTTGTGATCAGGAATGGTTGCTCTGAAATTTGTCCTCGGTTTCTCCGTCCTCATAGGAATGTTCCATGTGCCAGAAAGTAATACCACCAGAATGGATCCATCCAAATATACACGAAGAAAACCAGATTATCGAAGCAGCTGAATTGTCAAAGAATGCCATGAACCCGCAATGGTGAGCCAGTTTCGTACCAACGCAGATCCCCCGTCGTCTGTTATTCTGGCACAACAATTCAATTGGTAATAGTTACTGCACTAGATGCTATCTACAATCCCACTCCTGCTCTACCCCATTTATCTGTGTTGTATACAACAACCTAATCAGGCGTGGCTTAAATGAGAACAACACATGAGCAGTGACGAGTGTTCTAAGCTTCAGAAAACCATATTCTGGAACTTCGAGCCCTTAAAATCCTAAACCCTAAATTGTGGTCAATGCTCATAATTTGTCTACAGCAACAGCAGCAGTGACCGTGACGAAACCAAACCAAAAGATATCAGACTTAATTCTAGCATCAGATCTTCTAATACACCACCTATATTGAATTGACACAGTTTTCGAACGCCAACGGGGCATGAACAATGAAACGGAAGAAGCTTACCCACGCTTGCAGCCCGTGAACGCAAAATATTTCGTCGCATCTACGCATGTGACCCACAGGACACTACGTGTAAAATGGTTAAGCAGGCCCCACGATTTTTTTTCCCTTTGTTTGGTAGTAATACCAATGGAATGTCTGAATCACAAGAGATGAGTAGTTTGAAGAAAGTAATCAACATGTGGGGGAATCAACCAACTGATGCCATAAAAGAAGACAAATCCGCGGCGTCACAAAACCCAACTCTATTCACGATTAGCACAACCCAGCTTCTCCCTTCCATCCTCTCCGTTTCAAAACCCACACTACATTTGCACTGTGAGACACTGTAAACAAGCAAAACTAACGAAATTGCAGCAACCTAAGTGGGAAATTTTTGGACGAGCTTCAGTGTCAATCAGGGGTCTTTGACCGGGGGGACCCTATGACCATGACATTTTTTCCATCGTAATCCGCTCATTCCGAGGATATGGATATGCATTGTCGAATGAATGCCGAAGCGCTGTTGCATTCGCAGGTTCGAGCTTCAAACTTCACCGACGAGGGATTGGTGAACGTTTCCTGTAGAGGAGCGAGAAATAAGCGTGTCGAGAATGCTGTGCTCCAAATACTGCTTTGCAAGGGCGCTTTGTAGTAGCGTAGGACTGGAGCCGCCTTTGGGGAAAGCATGGGAGGTGAAATTGGGGTGGAAGATTGAAAGAGCCGAGAGAGTGAAGGCCACAGCTGCGATTGGCAATGGGCAAGCAGGAGGAGACTTTTTAGAGCGAGAGAGGAGTGTTGCGGTGAGTTCGCGTGTGGGTGCTCGGGAGAGACGGTTGCAGAAAGTCCATGAGGAGAGGAGACGGCGAAAGAGTGAGGAAGAGGGCAAATACCCCGAGTGGGCGACGTAAATTTACTAACACTTGAACCTGTTTTCGTGGATCGCCTCACTCTGTCTGGGGTTTTTGCAGCTGGTAATGATAGAATCTGTGGGTTACTGCGCATCATTTTTGAATTCACGTTGCATTCTTTGATTTGAAATCGTCGATGGAAGGATGGCTTACCGTTGGTAACCCCAAGCAAATATTGCATAAGTGTAGTTATGATGACAGGAGGTCATATTGCTTGTAGCTCTGTGAGAATTCTCTCTTATGTGCGAACACTACTTCTTTCATTCGTAATGCCGGTGGGAATTCTCTGAACGGTTCCTCGTTTTTTGGACATAATTTTGGAGCATCAAGGTGTAGGGTTTAAGGGTGTGGGGTTTTGATAGGCATTTGCAGGTTTCTGACCGCAGTAAGTTCTTTTGTATAAAGGTTTCGAGACGCTTGTCTATCTCTCGGCCTGGGAGCTGGGGGCGGAATTTTTCGGTGTATTCGCTGCTTGTGTTTGGCAGAGGGGTTTATTGCGGATTTAAGCGATTTGAATGATGTACAGGGTTCTGGAAAATGCAGCCAAGGAGGATGAGGAGCTACGAGAAATTCTTGGAGATACCATTGGTAATCCAGAAGAGATGAAACGGCGAGTATGTTCCCTTACAGTACCGTTCCACTTCTTTCTTCTTTTCTTTCTTTTCTTTGTGCCTTGGAAACGGAAGCTTCTGGGTGTGCCGCTTGTTTAAATGGAAGTATTCCTACTCTGATGGAGACCAAATTGTCACAATATTCTCATGTCACGAATTTAATCATATGGTACAGGTGGAAGAAAGAGTTGGAAGAAAAGGTCGACGCATTTCTGATGCCAGAACGGGATCAACAATTCCGATGGCTGTATCTTTCCGCGAGTAAGTTTACTAGCACGTTAAGAACTTCTCAAGATGCTTTGGGTATCTCACCATTAGAAGTATTTTCTAAATTGGATAATGTGTACTTTGAACCATTACTTATCGTAGTGAATTAGTTTTTTCTCTGTGATCCAGCTAACAGTCCCTGTTCTTGATGTAGTTTCGATTCCATGGATAGTCACATCTGGCTGGAGTTCTACGCCCCTCCCACAGACAAAGACATGGATTTGATCGGCAGTGTATATCTGCTTCACTTTTACTCAATTTCGTCATGTTTCTAAAGTGTAAAAAACATAGAACCAGTGGTTGTAGATGCATAGGTCTCACTTTCAATCGATACAGTGATCTGCTGGGTTTGGACGGTAAGAGGATTATGGGAACGAAGGATGCTTGTGTTTCCCTTATTTGGCTGAAAGTCAAGTTTACGAGAAAGGAGTTTATATGGGCTTGTGGTGTATAATTAAGGCAAACGCTTGTTAACACCAGCACTACATCTGTGTAGACATCTGGTCGACGTCGGCAAGGGAAAGTATGCGTTGAGGGTAGCATAGCTATTCGATTGGGTCGGGATTCTAGGTTACCTGCGCTTGGAAATCCCCCAAAAATCATGAAATTAAATGATTCGTTGCGTTCGCAGGTATTCCGGTCATGGTTTGTGTTGGGCCGACTCGGTGGCTTCAATTCCATGAATATGCAGGTTGCTTGCCTATCCTCTCCAGTCAGATAATCCTATCCCATTTTCTCTTTTCAGATATTTTTTATGCACGTAATTGTACGGTGTATTTTTGTTGCATCTTTATGTACTTAAAAGAGACTTTACATTTGAGAGCTGGCGCTAAAAGTAATATTCTGATTGCATTGTGGTTCTTTTCTGTGTGCTTTTGCACATTTGTCAAGCGCACAAGTTTCCAGCAATGTGTTTGCCTGAACCACTTACTAACATCGAGTGGAATTTCTTTTATGTTCTTGGTGCATTATCTTATATTTCTAGAGGGTTTACACTCACATGTTTTACATGCAGATCATTAAAGTTCCTCTAAATGCACCACTCAGATATAGCACGGAGAAAGCTCAGGAAGCATTGAGTGCCTTTTTCCATGACATTAGTGACGTAGAGTTTCAAGAAAGCTGGGCCCGCGTATGGTAAGTAGTCTTTGTGGTTGTTGGTCTTGGTTTTGTGTTCTTACATTCCTAGTTTTAACCATTTCTTTCGTTCCCTCTGAATTCCCCGGGTTTCTTTGAGGTATCTCAGATAGCATGGTACTCGGAATATATGTCTTCATACAGGGTTCACATCTGTTGTGGAAGTCGCCGTTGTTGCCTTTCTAATTAAAATATGGTTGGGTTGGATGTGGATGCGGACGTTGCTCGTGTCCTACAGGATAGATTTAGGAACATCAGATCCTTGCTGTCTCGATGTGCTTATAAACGCATTAACTACTGTCAGCTCGGAGTAAGTGAATAAGATCTGTTTGTTTTCTCTCTGCTTCCACCATCATGCGTAGTATCTTAAAGACTCCTTAAAGCTGTTATGTTACCCCCTTGCATGAATTCCAACCACTGCACAGTATGCTCACAACTCGTTTGTGGGATGTTTTTGTCAGCTTCGTGGGCATCAAACAACTGGTTTTTGGGGGTAAACATTTAGGCGATTGGGATGAAGATTTGAAGAGCAATGAAGATGGCTATAGAGCATACAAAATATGAGTTCAACTGTTAGACTTTTGGTCCTATTTATTAAGATGAGCACAATCAAGTGAAGTATATTTCTGGTGAGCTGCACTTGGAATTCCCTGTGCAGCTTCTACAGCTTCGTTCTTTTAACAATAGCCATTTAAAGCAGAAGACTTATAATTCATAAAAGAATAGCAATAGCCATTTAAAGAAGAAGACTTATAAATCATAAAAGAGTAGCACATGTAAATTTAGTTTGTTTTCAAGAGAATGTTTAACAAGGTTTTAATTTTCTAGGTCTAAGAGCTGGTTTGTATATGTTAGATGGAGTCTAATTCTAAATTCTTTGAGCTTGTGGGTGTTTTAAGAATTTGTGTAGAATTGTTTTTTTATTTGTGTAGCATGCATAGAGAATAATGTATATTAATATTGGAATTAGATTGATTTCTTTATGTTTCAATCAATACTTTTTTTTATATTAAGTGAATGAAATAAATATTGCTTCTTTAAGTGCATGAGCTTTGAATCAAATAGCTTATCATTTTTTTTCTTTAATTTTTATATATTAAAAAAATAAAATATTATTATTAAAAAACAATCAACTTTTTGATTATTGAAACTAATCTAATTTTAAAATTTTGGAAGAAAAAATCTAGTTTATTATAGAATATTGTTAATTAAGAAGATGGTAGTAGAAAATATCTTAAAATTAACCATTATATATATATTAAATAAATAAAGAAGATGATGATGCTTTAGCTTCAAGAGAATTGTCTGTTGTTGATCAAAAGTGGCATTTCCTTCCTTTAATATAAGGTAAGATCATCTAAAAAATGCATCTGACAAACCTTGTTTTTTTGGTCAATAAGTGATCTTGAATTTGAATCTTAACAAAGACATGTTCCAATGGGCTAAGCGATGATTCAAATCACATATTAATATAAAATATTCAAGATTCTTTTGATTCCTATATACAATGATTGGATTAGAAGCACCTTCTAGATAATGGCACCAATCTTGAAACAAATCCATGATTGCAAAAAGTTCTTTATTATAGATTTTGTAATTGATCTCAGTTGCTAAAATTTTTTTGGAATGAAAAGCTATTTGGTGAAGCTTCTCATCTGTTTTTATTTGTCACAATACGACATCTAAAGCAAAGTTTGATGCATCTATTTTCATAAATAAATGGCTTAAAAAAGTCAATATGACATAAGATTGGTGTAGAATCAAAGGTTGTCTTCAAAGCTTCAAATGCTGCTTCCGCTTCTTGATTCCATTGAAATTTGTCTTCACAAGTCAAACATATAAATAGAGCTACAACTTGAGAGAAGTCTTTAATAAAGATTCAATAGTATTTGGCAAATTTTAAAAAGTATTGGATATCTTTCAACGTTCTAAGATCTTCCAATCTATAATAGTTTGAACTTTCTTAGGATCTATCATAAGTCCATCATTTGAAATGATATATCTCAAGAAATCATCTTGAGTAGTATGAAATACACATTTTTTTGTTTTGATATAAAGTCTCTCATCTTTTAGTTTTTGTAATACATGACAAACATGATATTCATATTCTTCTCTATTCTTAGAATTGATTAAAATATCATTTAGATAACAGACAACAAAATTGTCCAAAAACTCTTAAAAGACATCATTCATTACATGTTGAAAAGTTGCACATGCATTTGTAAGTCCAAAAGATATGATATTATATTTAAAATATCCTTGTTTGGTTCAAAACATAGTCTTCTATTTATTTCCTTCTTTGATGCGTATTATATTGTATGTCCCTTATAGATCTATTTTTGTATAGATTTTAACTTGATTAAATTGATTAAAAATTCTAGATATCAAAAAAAGTGGGTGATTATTTTTGATGGTGATTTCATTGAATCCTTGATAACTGACTCACATCTGTAATGATCCATCTTTTTTCTTTATAAGTAAAATTGGAGCTCATATTAGAGATTTGGAATGGCATATGAAGTTCTTAGCCAGATTTGTTATGAACATACATAGATATTTTAATAAATAGTTATATGATTAAATAAAAATAGGTAAAAATAGATAAAAGTAGATTAATTTTATAAGACCTTTTAAAGAAGCTTCCTAGAAGCTTCATAGATGCTCCTTTCTTTTACATGTGATTGTAGATAGTTAGAAACTTGGTCAACAAATTAATCACATGTTAGTAGCTTGCAAAACAAGTTAACTATATGGCTTACATATAAAAAACTTGCCTTACAAGTTAACATACTTGTCTTGCAAAATCAACACATTTTGGAGGTCTTATATAATATTGCTACGTAGCTCCTAGTTAAGAATATATATAGAGGCAAGAGTAAAGCCTTTTTCACTCTTGTTAATGCCTTTCTCGACTTTAGTCTTATTTCAAGAGTTTTTTGTCATTCTAGTTTAATATTACATCATCTTTTGAATGACTTTTTAATTCTCTTCAGTGATACAAGAGTGTATTGAAGATTTTCTTTCTTCAAGATTCATATCCTTGACAGTTTGACACAAGTATTAACATACTATTTTAATCTTATTTTAAAAGTGAGTGGATTATTCCACTTCTATTGTTGTGATTTGAAGGACACGGATTACTTACCTTTAAATAAAAAAATCTTAATTTCTAACACTGATCTTTTCTTTAAAGAGAATGGATTATCCTTCTTTGTGGAAATTTTTATTAGAGGTTGCAGATTACCTTCCTCTAATTTAACTTTTTCAATTTGTTTGAGTTTTTTATGGAAGGAAAGATTATGGATGCTACTCTTAGTGCAAGTGAAAATAGATTTGTAACTATTATAAATCTTCATGAGCTTGTCAACACTCTAAGAGTGAAAATCTCATGTATTTTCAACGTGAATTATAAAAATACTATACCTACACCTATGGAAGAAGTTCAAAGTCTATGGCAAAAAGTTATATAGTTGAAGGAAGCAAATAGATTAACTTCACAACCAAATCTAGGGAGTTTTGCTTCTACAAGTATGACAGGGACAAGGATTACTAGGCCTCAAAAGTTTGATGGAATAAGATCAAAACTTTAAGAATTTTTGCTATAAATCAAGCTCTATCTAAGGTTGCATTCTTTCCAATATCTCAATGGATTTACTCAAATCGGATTCATAAGCGTACTTCTATCAGAAAATGCTCTCTTTTGGTTTATGCTTTCAATGAAAAAAGATTTGTGATTCTTTTATGATTTGAATTCATTCCTAGAAGTATTTATGGCCATATTTAGAGAAAGTGATTAAAAAAGAGTAGTAGAGACTAAGCTCTTATTTTTATAGCAAAGATTACGATTAGCTACCATATATATTGTTGAATTTTAAAACCTTACTTGAGATGTGGACTGGAATGACAAAGCCCTTATCAATTAATTTTAATATGTGTTGAAGGATAATGTCAAAGACTTATTACTGACAATATTAAAGACAAAATCTTTTGAACAATTTATTGCTCAAGCCATTGCATGTGACAATCAATTATTTAAAAGACGTCAAGAATAAAGATATGGTTAGAGAGGAACAAATCAAATAATGATAATAGCTCCTAAGTTTTCAAAAACTTATTTATGAAAGCCAAAATCAATGCAAATTGATACAATATATTTTAAACTCTTCACAAAGCAGGAAAAGAGTTGACGACATCAAGAGGGCTTATGCTTATATTGTGGAGAAGCTAAGTATACTGCTCAATATTGTCCAAAGAAACAACACAATTATAAATTGAGAAGCTTAATTGCCAAAGAAGAAAATGTGTTGGAAACCAAAATTCTCTAGCTACAATACAAACTGTGTAGTTGGAATCATGTACAACATCTATCAAAGGTCATATTCTGTCCTCTAATCCCTCACCTTGTTTTACAATAGAAGCCTATTTAGGACCAAAAAATCACAAAGTCTTAACCTTATTGGATTCAAGAGCCTTAGCTTGTTTTATAAATGAAGACTTTGTGAAAAAACAAGATATATACTTAGTCAAGAAAATCAAACATGTGCATGTAGAAGTAATAGATGGACATTTATTATCTTTTAGAGATGTTACATATGAAACTACTCCTATAGAAGTAGCAACTAGCAGTCACAATAGTTTAGTAATGTTTAATGTGATTAAGTCTCTTTTTAATCCAATCATTTTAGGATTATTATGGTTAGAAAGATATAATCCTCAGATAGACTGGATTTTTTGCAATCTTAATTTTTTCCATAGTTTAGTCCAAGATCCTACTAGGCAAGTAGAAATCCATAAATCTAATATAGTCAAACTCTTATTGATAGGTGCAAAAGCTTTCATGCATGCTGCAAATGAGGGGCCAACTTTTGCTATATATGCCACACCCATTGTTGATGGTGAGAAGATATCAAGTTGTATTCCTAACTAATATTAAGATTTCTAGGACGTTTTTGAAAAGAAGAATGCAGATATTCTTTTGAAGCATCATCCTTATGATTGCACCATCAATCTTTAAGAAAAAACTCAACAACTATTTAGACTAATCTATAGCCTATCACAAAATGAGTTGGCTACATTCAAAGAGTATATTGATGAGAACTTGGCTAAAAACTTTATATGACATTCTAAATCTCTAGTCGGAACTCGTATCTTATTTGTGAAGAAAAAAGATGGATCTTTGCAAATGTATATAGATTATTGAGGACTTAATAAGTTCACTATCAAAAATAGGTATCCTCTACTTTTGATTTCAAAACTTTTTGATCAACTAAATCAAGCAAAGATCTATACAAAAATAGATCTACGAAGAGCATATAACTTGGTCAGCTATCGTACTATAAAAGCTTATAATATGTAAAAATTAGTTAAAATATGTTAATAAATCTAGATGTATGTTAGAATGGTTAATAGATTCATTTAAAGAGAGTGGATATAAGAAAATTAATTTTAAATTTTATCTTTTTTGATTATAGCATTTAAAAAATAATTATAGGACCTAAATATTTAGTATGAAGCCTTGAAAAGAGATTATAGCCTAAAGAAGAAAAACTTAACTAATAAGAGGATTATTGGGAGGGATGAAAGCAAGGCATGGTTGGATGAAGGCAATGAATGGGGATCTTCATTCCTATTGGTCGAAGGCCATGCCTGATGGGCTTCAAGGAAGCTGCTTGAGGGCTTATTAGGGATTAGGATTTTTCTTTCGAAATAATTTGAGCTTTGGAGGCTAGGATCAGCAATTTTATGTTTTTGGGTACAAATTGAGTGCAAATTTTGTGTGATTTGGAATTTTTATGAAGGAGTTATTGGCTCTCAAAGTTAAGGTATCAATTTCATACCTATTGTCACTCTTTGGAGCATAACATACGTTTACAAAGAGCAAAAAAAGATCGGAGACTG